CGTTGGACAGGCTGACAGATGGACAAAGCGTTGGACAGGCTGACAGATGGACAAAGCGTTGGACAGGCTGACAGATGGACAAAGCGTTGGACAGGCTGACAGATGGACAAAATGTTGGACAGGCAGATGGACAAAGCGTTGGACAGGCAGACAGAGAGGTTAAACCATTGGACAGTCTGACAGAGAGGATAAACCATTGGACAGGCGGACAGAGAGGACAAACCATTGGACAGGCGGACAGAGAGGACAAAGCGTTGGACAGACGGACAGAGAGGATAAACCATTGGACAAGCGGATAGAGAGGACAAAACGTTGGACAGGCGGACAGAGAGGATAAACCATTGGACAGGCGGACAGAGAGGACAAAGCGTTGGACAGGCGCACAGAGAGGATAAACCATTGGACAGGCGGACAGAGAGGACAAACAGAAGGATGATGTCTCTCCTGAGGCTCAGTTAAACAACTGGAAGCTGTTTGAACAAACGGAGCGAAAGAACAAGCAGAGGAAAAGTTGGGAGGAGGAAGATGATGATGAAGGTCAGCAGAGTGCTAAATGCTGTTTTAGGTTCGGTTCTGGTCCCTCAGGCCCCCCGTCCCTCCACACACCTGAGGCCTCCACCATCCTCAGCAGCTCTGTCTGACTCGTTTCTCATCATTTTCATGTTGGAGGATGCTGAGCGGAAAATCTTCATCCCTGAGGCCCTGGAACATCGCTCTGCTCCTCCTCCTCCTCAGTTTGAAACATTTCACAAACCACCAGACTGCAGTGGTTCTTCTGGGTTCACCTTGGTCTGGGTTCACCTTGGTCCTTTATGGCTGGTTCTGGTCTTTTCTGGAGTCCTGCTGACCTGGGTTAGCTTGTGTGGTTTACCCTGGTCCTCTGGTTCTTGTCTTTCCTGGGTCTGGGTCTTCATACTTCCTGTTTCTACGTGGACATTCAGTGATTGGTTTATTTATCTTTTTTTATTCTAAAGCTATCTCTGGGATAATTTAACTTTTGATCTTTAGAGGTCAGAGGTCAACTTTAATCTGAAAGGTTTAAATCTGATCCAGCAGAACCAAACCCTAAACCACAAAGTAAATCTGGCCCAGTCCCAAACTTTTCAGACTTGTGTACCCCTGAGCCATTTTGTCATACCACTAGTACCCCCTCTGTAAAATGTAATGATGATCCTCCAAACCTATAATGTTCTACAACTCATTTTTTAATGAAAATTATTTATTTAACCCACTAGAATGTTTTATTCTCAGCCATTATATTTTTTCCACTCAAATTAAACATAAATATAAAAATGTTGCCTTGAAAGTGAATAAGTAATTAAACAAATAAACCAGGTAATGACAGGTGCAGAAAACAGAAGCTTCCAAAATACATTGTATTTTCCAAAATATGTCAGAAACTCACCCAAATTAGCAAATTCCACGAGATTCCACGTTTTACACTGGATTCAAATTTGAGTTTATTCTGTGATTCCGTCTGCAATTTCTGCATTGCGGAAATAATAGGGCCCTACATATCAGTCCTATTTCTTTTTCACACCTGGACTGAAGGAACTGTTCAAGGTCCTGAAAGAGCTGGTATGTTTCAGGACTTTGGATATTGTGAAGGACTGAAAGAACTGTACAAGGTCCTGAAAGTGCTGGAATATTTCAGGACTTTAGATTGTGTGCAGGGCTGGAAGAACTGTCCAAGGTCCTGAAAGTGCTGGGATGTTTCAGGACTGTAGACAATGTGAAGGACTGAAGGAACAGTCAAAGGTCCTGAAAGTGCTGATAATCAAAATGCATCAGTAACTGTTTTACCAATACTTCTGTATTAAAATTAAAGTTCAATGATTTGGTTGATTACGGTATTTTATTGGTTATGTTTATGGCTCATAAAAACACATTAACCTTCAAACATTCAATTAAATTTTGTTGAAAAACAGAGTTGCTGCAATCTCAAGGGAAATGTTTATTAAACTTAAATTTAGAACCAGTTTGAAGGAATGGCGTTCTTCAATCTAAGGAAAAAGATAATGGAATGAAGAAATATGTTATGATATAATGTGTATTTATTCGAGTTATTGTTTTAGGAGTTTAACCTTTTTTGTTTTGTTTTGTTATTGGAAGTTATTTTGTTTAAATTTATTTTTTCGAGAAAAAGGGGCAGATACAGTATAAGATTTTTTTCTTCTTCTGCTACCTTTCATTTAGGATTTGTATTTTTATTGTATATAGAATTTGTTTGTTTTTAATAAAAATGAATTAATAAAAATAAACTAAACAAAAAAAATTCAATTGGACAGTGAGG